AGCCAACTTATTTTTAGAGATAGATCTGAGACAAAAAGTGTCTTCACATCGGACCCTCGACCCGAACCCAAGAAGAATAGCGCTTCTAAGACGGGATCTGCTCAAGAATCGAAAATCCCGAGACAAATAACATCTTTCCCTTGACTTCACTGCAGAATGTCTGGAAAAATAAATTGACCTATAAGCTTCACCACACCTAGCTACGTAGCCCAGTCATCATCGCATTTAATGCATGACCAGGGTCATTATGACTCCCTCGCTAGAGTCTTAATGATTTCTCGGACAACGCTAGCACTTCAACCTCCTCGTCGCTATCACATTAAACGCAAGGATGACTCGCTTGCTCTGCGACTGATACGTGTCAAACACCATCTGATCAACCGCCCGCACTAATCTGATCAAATTACCAAATAGTCCCCCGCAGATTTCTATAAATAGGGGTCATTTCTTCTACATGAAGGTATGATTAGAGATACCCTCAAACTAAATTCAGTTATTTTTAAACCACTTAATTTGTAATTGACTTGAGCATATGAGGATCCATCGGAGAACCCAACTCAAGTCCTCTAACAATGTCACTGTGTGCAGGAATCTTTGCCTATGGTCACAGTCAGCCATCAAAGGAGATAAAGTGATGCTAAATTCCTCCAAGGCCATCATTATTCACTGATTAGCTCAACAATTATGTATCAAAGGAGATATGATTAATAATATTATATAATATTATTACTAGTATATTATTAATAAATTAATATATTACCAATATATTATTTTATTATTAATAAATTATTTTAAAATATAATATGTCATATTAAATTTATTATTTGATATATGCTTTATAATATATCATTATTATATTATTACTATATTATTTTTTTATTATGAAAGATGTTTCTTACAAATATGATATCCCAAGGCCGAGACTCAGTCGAGCCGGCTTCATTCCCCGAAGACGACTCGAAAGGCTTACTCAGTCGAGCAAAAGATTGCTACTCAGTAATCAGCCGACACTTCCCCTGAGGGCGACTCAGAATATTACTTCTCAGCATTATTTTACCATTTATCATCATCATTATGACGCCACATCGCCCATTGATAAGCCTCGACGGCTGCAGAGTCCCCATACCACAGAAGTGACCCCAAGTCACTCGCCGACATACCTCGACGGCTGCTGATTCCCCATGTCACTGAAGTGACCTCTCATCACTCACCAATCGACACGTATCAGGCAGAGGGTGACTCAGCCTCCAGCTCACCCCTCGCCATCATCATAAACCGCATTCTCCCTAAATGCCTATTCTGCCCTTTGCGACCTCTATAAATAAATACGCTATTCGTCATGAAAAGAGGTTAGATTCTCATACTACCTGAAAGCTCTCTAGACACATATTAGAAGAACACATCGTTCTTCCTTCACCTCACCCAAGTCCACCAGGTGACTTGACCGTCAGAGGTACCATAGGGGAAACAAGCCCCGTACTCCTACGATTCTTATGTGTGTAGGTGATCCGCCCACCCCGAGCTTTGAGAACCAGGCATAAAATCGAAGAAGGAAAACGGCCCCCTCTCGACAGTTCAACCTCTCGACGATCCAGCAACTCTGCTACTTCAACTGACTGTGTGATATCTGATATCAACAATGTCTTTATTTATAATAAATTATGTTACAGTATTTTTGTATTAATATATTTCTATTTTGTTATTATTTGTTAATATATTAACACCCTCTCAAACTCAAAATCAGAACATCACCTTCTAGATGATATGAAATAAGTATTTTGTTCTTAGCTTGAGGATATTTTAGCTTAAAAAATAACATGGTTTCAAATACATTGTGTTTACTTTTTAATAAAAACACCATGAAAATAAGAAAAACATCGTGGTATCCCAATGTCATATTTGATTATTCATCCTCCTCCTCTTTCCTTCTTCTTCCTCACTCAAGATTCAAGGCCTAGTACTAATCTTCGTGAGCATCGGGTAGACTATTGCTTTCTTTAGCTTTGGTAAATTGACATCAAAATTGTGGTTTGGCGAGCATGCAGCAAAAGAGATTTGAAGTTTCTTTAATAAATTAAAGAAAAACCTATCAACATTTGCATATCTTCTATTAATTCTAGAACTTAAGATATTTTGGGCTCTCCTTCAGATATTTTGGGCTGCTAAGAGGGTGTATGGAAAAACTTGTTTTTTGAAGCTTATAAGTTATATGCTAGCTTTTAATCGTTTTTCTGATAAAAATACTATAAAAATTGTCTGAGTAAAATAGTAATTTGTTTGGTCAAACCGAGCTTTATTAGATGAGCTTATAAGCTAGTTTTTCAAAAGTTGTGATATACTAGCTTTTTAAAATGGGACTTATAAGATATCTTATTTGGCATTTTACCAAACAGCTACAAATTAAAAAGTTACCTTAAAAGCTAGTTTGACTGAAAAAACAAGCCTCCCCAAACACCCTCTAACTACTATCTTCTCAGGCTTGCATGCTGGGATTTTTGTCATATTGCACCTTAAATTTTTCCTTAATTTTAGATTAGGTCCCTAGATCTTCAAATACTAATTTAATATCCCTGAGTCAATTAAGTTGTCATATTACACCCTAAATTTTTGTTAAATTTTATATTATGTCCCCAGATCGTCATATGTATTTCTAACTTACAATCCCAATTTTGTGTATGGTTTTAAATAACAGTAGAAGTTGATTGCCAATAGTTAAATTTAATCGCAATGTCTTATTTGAAACACAACTGATTAGATTTGAGGGTGCAGACTTGAAATATAAAGTAATAGAGGCGTAATATAAAATTAAGCAAGAATTTAGTCCCCAGCATGGCAAAAGGACAGAGAAACGAAGGACGAAATAAATAGGTCAAGTCAAGGCCTTCTGGATGTCCCGATAGTCCAAGATAATAATCAAATCTAGGCTGGTGCTACGATGCTTGGAAAATTCTGAGCTATGACGTTAATAAAATATACGGAGGACCAAAAAAAAAGAAGAAGAAGAAGAAGAAGCCTAGGCTCTCGCATTATAGTACTCCCAATTCAAAACCTCTATATAATCCCGTGCTCCTCTCTCCAACACTTTCAAACCCTCACATTCTCTGCTCAACTGCGACCCCTCCAAAATCAACACTCTGAATTTTCATTCATTGCCGACCTGGAAGGTTCTCGTCGATGGAAGGGAACGGCATCGTCGCCAGCGTGATAAGGAGCGGCTCGGCGTGGCGGAGCACCAGCGCCCGCAGCGATGTGTTCTCTCGGTCGTCGAGGGACGAGGACGACGAGGAGGCCCTCAAGTGGGCAGCTCTTGAGAAGCTGCCCACGTACGACCGAGTTCGGAAGGGGATCCTCACAGGGTCGACGGGCCAAGGGAGGGAGATCGACGTCGGGGAGCTGGGTGTCGGGGAGAAGAAGAAGCTCATGGAGAGGCTCGTCCGGGTTGCCGAGGAGGATAACGAGAGGTTCCTGCTCAAGCTCAAGAATCGATTGGACAGGTAAAAAAAATTTTATTTTTTTTATTTCCCTAATGACGTTCGCCGGAGCCCTGTGCTTCTTAGTTTCAGTTGTGGATTTGAGTTTTTGTTGCTTGTTTCCTTGAAGGGTTGGGATCGAGAACCCAACGATCGAGGTGAGGTTCGAGAACTTGGACATCGGGGCAGAAGCTTATGTTGGAGACAGAGGAGTTCCTAACGCGCTCAATTTCTTCACGAACAACATCGAGGGGCTGCTTAATACTCTGCATGTTCTTCCGAGTCGAAAGAGGCCGATAGCGATCCTGCACGGCATCAGCGGAATCATCAAGCCCGGCAGGTAAAAAAAGGAATCAAAAATACGTGAAAACATATGATCACATATATGTTATGCTGTCGAACCTGAACTCGTGCTCTTTTCCCAGGATGACCTTGCTTTTAGGGCCTCCTGGCTCTGGAAAGACTACTCTGCTTCTGGCTTTGGCGGGAAAACTGAATCCAGACCTGAACGTAAGCCAGTTCCAGGGGTGAAAAAAACTGAATATCTCATCATTTTCAGGAGGGAGGCAAAAAAAAAACCCTCAAACGTTTCGACAATTATTGACATCTTTCTTATCAAAATCAGGTTTCTGGGAGAGTTACTTACAATGGGCATGGGATGAACGAGTTCGTGCCTCAGAGGACGTCGGCTTACATAAGTCAGCACGACCTGCACATCGGAGAGATGACCGTCAGAGAGACTTTGGCTTTCTCCGCCAAATGTCAGGGGGTCGGGACTCGCTACGGTACGTTTTTGAGTAACCGCGGAGTCGAATACTCTGTTTTTATTTTTTTTCCCTGGAAAGCGGGAGTCAGGATGTCATTTTGTGATGAACTGCGTGCAGAAATGTTGACTGAGCTGTCGAGGAGGGAAAAAGCGGCAAATATCAAGCCAGACCCTGATATCGATATGTTCATGAAGGTACGCTCACTAAAACTGCAGAATTCCCCTTTATAAAAGAAATATAGATGGAGGTGTCGTCAGTATATTATTAGTATAGAATAAGTACCCAGGAAAAAGAGGCAAAAGAAATGGAAATTCACATAGATGACACTACTTATCTCACTGTATGAAATTCAAATCAGAGCACAAGAAAGTAAATAATTGAAAAACAAATAATTAACTGAACAGAACTATGGTAGAATACTCTGTATTTCCGGGGGAAAAAACAACAGAAAAAATTTCTTAAGTCCGTCCGTTAAAAAGGAAGTCTTTTACAATAAACCAGCGGCAGAAATTTCTGAAAGACAGCAAAAGATAAATAAATAAATAAAGGATAAGATGATAAGAGCAGCCCCAGAAAACAGAGACGGAGAAAGATGTAAACAGTAATTCTTTAACGTCAATAAAGCATGTTGGAAAAGGAAACCTGGAAAAGATAAGTTTAAGCTTGGATCCTCCTAGAAAAATAGTACCATTTCTCTGTACACATCAATTTATCTGATACAATAAATGAGGTTCATCAGCAGAATATCACAGATATAAAGTACTCTTTTCACCTGAAAAGGTAATAGTTATCTGTAAACAAACTGATATATACACATAATAAGCATATCTGCTGATATTCTGGAACAACTTGTATTCTGACAATTATGAGAAAATAGAGAAACATGTACATTTTGAGTCACATAGTTCATGAGCTTAATCTTAATTTGTTCCCCCCTGATTCTGCAGGCTACTTCGCTGGAAGGACAGGAAATTGTAGTCACAGACTACATTCTGAAGGTATATTTCGGATCATATGGACTTTTTTTTCTTGCCCACAACATATCGAAATTCGGAAGCAAACAACTTTATTTTCATGAATATCAACAATTGTTAACACTTAAATTGCAACTAGTATTTTTCTCCCGTGCTGAGCATGGTCAAAACTCCATGTTTCGCTATCTTACTCTAAGTAACACACCGAAAATGCACTTATCTCTTCCAAAACCTATTGTATACTATTTTATCCCCTTCTAATTTCATCTCATACCTCCCTATTTCGATATCTCAACTTTATAAAACAATATGGTACTTATCATTATTCAATGATTTTTTATAATAAGAAATCTAAATTTGTTATTTATCAGTTAAATGGTTGGTTGGAATATTTATGTAATTTTCTAAATTCTAAATCTTCATTTAAATTTTTAAATCGATGAGGTTTTCCATGTGTCGCCCTTAAAATGATTTAGATTTTGGTGGATGGTTGGATGATATTTGCAACATGTCGCTCAAGTTTGTAAAAATTCTCCACAATAGATTAGTTATAAGAATTTTAATTAATAAGATATTAGTTAATAATATTTTCCATATAAAGTTAACAATAATTTTTATATATAAAGATAAGATTTTTCGTATATATAAAGATATAGGGAGATATTTCCATATATCTAAAGATAAATTTTTCGGAATGGATATTTTCAAAAATTGTAGTCAATAACAGTAAGATATTGGCTAATAATATTTTTTTGCGTAAAATTAACAATATTTTTTATCTAAAAATAATATTTTTTGTATACATAAAGATGTACTAAGATATATCATTAGTTAATTTCTGTCGTTAATAATACTTTTTGTATAAAAGTAGTAATATTTTCCATATATAAAGATAAGCTTTTTTTTATATATAAAGATATTTCCATAGTTAATTTCAGTATATTTAAAGATAAAAAATTTGGAAAGCATATTTTTAAGAGTTTTAGTTTTTTTATATAAAATTAATGATATTTTCCGTATATGGCCATAAGATTTTACGTATATATAAAGATGTACTAGGATATTTCAGTAGTTAATTTCTGTAGCTAATAATATTTTTTTTATAAAATTAATAATATTTTCCATGTATAAAGATAAGATTTTTCGTATATATAAAGATCTAATAAGATATTTTGATAGTTAGTTTCTATATATCTAAAGATAAAATTTTTAGAAAGGATATCTTTAAGAATTTTAGTTAATAGGATATTAGTTAATAATATTTATACTGCACTTATTAATTCTACAAATAATATGTTCTATATAGTTTGTAAAAATAATAAATATAGAAATTGAGTACAAAAATAAATAGTTACACTTTAACGCCCCAAAATATTACCTTTTTTTAACTTTAACCCTCAAGCTTTATGTTGACTACATCATACCCCAAATCTTAATTTTTTCGGTATAATAATATTGTGTTACTCCATCTATTCTATTTTCAAACTATAGCTTTTGAATCGTGTTCGTAATCAAAACTTAAGTTAAATCATGTCATATTTAAACTTTTAAGTTTTAAAAATCAGGTAGCAATAATTGAAAAGATTTAAATCAAAAAAATAGATGAATAACTGAATATTATTATACCGTAATAATTATGTTATATTTTTATATTTTTTAATTATTTCTATTTTCAAATTATAGCTTTTGAATCAAGCTCATAAACAAAACTCAAGTTAATCATGTCCTAGTTAAACTTTTTAAGTTTTAGAAATTAGGCAACAATAATTAAAATAATTTAAACCAAAAAAATATAATTAAAAATTTAGAAAAATATAAAGTATAAAATATTTTTTTTCGGTGGGCCAATTTTAAGTTTTATAAATCAGCAAGCAATAATTGAAGAGATTTAAACCAAAAAATATAACTAAAAACACAAAATAATATAAAATAACCAATGAATATAGTACCTTAAAATTTGAGGTTTAATATGATAATAATAGTTTTAATGTAAGTAAATTTTAAAAATTATCTAAAACCAAAAGAAAAGAAAATTTCATGCAACACATCTAGATCAACTTCACTCAAATTTAAAAATAGTTTAAAACAAAGTTAAAGAGAATGAGAGTTTCAATATGAGTTCAAATTAAGAATCTTAATTTACAGTATGATAATAAAATAAAATTACAAAAACGCAAAAGCATACATGTGTAATTCACTATCTCAGTGTCTATTTGATCTCGAAGTAGAGCATGTTTATTCAGATAACCATAGTTGAAATCAAATAGCACTTTAAAAATAAATTACAATATAATCAAAGCAATTTCCAAGACATTACTTGGAATTATAAAAATCTTTGATCTTGAATTAAAGGTTATTTATTCAAATAACCATAGTTTAAATCTAATATAACTTTAAAAATAGCTAAAAATCAAAGAAAGATAAATAATCATGCAACCAAAGAATAACTTCAAAAAAATTGTCGCCGAAAGCAAACTTTTGTATATTGTAATTTCCTACACAAAGAGATTAAGTAGAGGTTAAATAAGGTTCATCTATAGCCAAAAAATCTTACCAAAAAGATGAAATTACCGAATATTCCCCTTTCCCTCGTTTAGTTTGAATTCAAATTTATCTCATACTGATACGAGTTGTCGGATGAGCACCCTTGATCGTGGAATTATCAGTTGTGATGAAGACGATAGAAAAACACAAGAACAATTCAGTTTTAGGCAAAGAAAAATATTTTATCTAGATTATGAAAATAATAGATTACAAATCCCTCTCTCTCACAATCTCTCTAAAATCAAGAACAATCTCTCAATTCTCTCTAAACCATAATCTCTTGATCAGAATCTCACCTCTTATCTTTTTCTCTGATTTCTGATTCTTCTCTAGATCAAAACTGATCTTTCTTAGACCTAATCTCCTTAGATCTATATCTCTAACAATCTCCTCTGTTTTTAAACAATCTCTATTTATAGAGTTTACAACGTGGATGACAAACTTATAAATAAACAAGCTCAATCAAATCAGGAAGCTGTGTCAATCAGGAGTCCTAAAACGCCCAGGAACCCAACGCGGTCGACCGCGGCATGTGGCGCGGTCGACCGGATAGAGTCCAGTCTCAAACCCTGCACCGTATAGGTTGGCGGTCGACCGCGCATGTTGTCGCTGTCAACCGGTCAGAGTTTTGCTAATTTTTTTCTTTTCTCTGCGTTTCGCTCCTTCTGACTTTTTTCGTCGCCTTCTACGGCTCCATCCACGCTTCTATTCCCAAGATATCATTAGAATCGTCTATCATTAAGCTCCCATGAAGATCATTAAGTTCCCGAAGCAGAGAAGAAGATACACTCGTATCATGGCTCCACTCTTTAGGAACTTAAAGTCTCGTTCAAGTTAGAACTTCAGCTAAGGAAACTCTCGAGCCCCTCCATCTTTTTTGCCTTCAGTCATCTTCTTCTTCCTTAATCCCTGGACTCCTTCTAAAGAAATAATGATCTCGCCAAACTTTTTGTATTACGATCGAGTAAGGACCATACACAGGATCCCCCTTCACAGAATCTAATCGTTCTGATACCAACTTGATACGAGTCGCCGGACGAACACCCTTGATCGCGAAATTATCAAGAGTGGGTTGTGAAGAAGACGATAGAAAAACACAAGAACAATTCAGTTTTAGGCGAAGAAAAATACATTCTCTAGATTATGAGAATAATAGATTACAAATCCCTCTCTCTCACAATCTCTCTAGAATCAAGAATAATCTTTTAATTCTCTCTAAACTCTAATCTCTTGATTAGAATCTCACCTCTTATATCTTTCTCTTATTTCTGATTCTTCTCTAGATCAAAATTGATCTCTCTTAGACCTAATCTCCTTAGATCTACATCTCTAACAATCTTCTCTGTTTAGAAACCCTAAATAATCTCTATTTATAAAGTTTACAACGTGGATGGCAAACTTGTAAATAAACAAGCTCAATCAAATCAGGAAGTTGTGTCAATCAGGAGTCCTAAAACGCCCAAGAACCCGACGTGGATGACCGTGACATGTGGTGCGATCGACCGGATAAAGTCCAGTCTCAAACCATGCACCGTGCAGGTTGGCGGTCGACCGCGCAGGTTGGCGGTCGACCGCGCATGTTGCCGCGGTCGACCAGCCAGAGTTCTGCCAGTTTTTTCCTGTTCTCTACGTTTCGCTCCTTCTGACTTCTTTCGTCGTCTTCTACGGCTCCATCCACGCTCTTATTCTCAAGATATCATGAGAATCGTCTATCCTCAAGCTTCCATGAGGATCATTAAGCTCTCGAAGCAGAGAAGAAGATACACCCGTATCACATACTATTATTATTTATATTATTATTATATTTATATAGTTATGGAAGGAAATCGAGATGAAAAAATGTAGGAAAGAAATATTTATATAGATATTATCAAATATTATATTTTATATAATTATGGAAGGAAATCGGGATAAAAATCTAGTAAAGAAATATTTTCATAGGTACAAGGAAAATGGAAAAAATTCAAATAATAGAAAGAAAATTAAGAGAATTTTTTTTGAGATTGTAAGTAATGAAGACTGTGGAGATTGTTATGGAATATGATTCTCCACAGATTTCGTTGTTACAATTATTATTATTAGTATTTATGGCCGGTACTTTTGTTGGGTTTAAAAATTATTAAGGATGGATGGATAAGTTTAAAGACAGACGGTAATTAAATTAGAGAAGAGGGATGCCGACGTGTCAATCTCTGGGAGGTTTTGAGGAGAAATGTTTTGTCTAAGGGGGTGTTTGGCTCAATTTCTACAAATTATAAGAAATGTTTTCCACCCAAAATATAATTTCCTTGTGTTTCTTAAAAAAAATTATAGAAAAAGTTTTGAGAAGTCAAAAAGTACTAATTTTCTTATGTTTTTTTACTTTGCTTGTTTGGTTGAAAACAAAAAACTGACCCATAACTTTATAAAAAATAGCAAGATTTTCTATAATTTATAGAAATTAAACCAAACACCCCTAAATTTATAGAAAAGTGTCGACTTTATAGAAAATTATTAATGTGGGGTCAGATTTCTAGATGATTTCCGTCCATTTTTAGTGGAAATTGATTTCTATAAATTTTGGTACTTTTTTGTTCTTTACAGAAAACATTTCTGTAAATTTTTTTTGAACCAAACACAGTTTACGGTTTACGGAAATCTACAGGAAATTTTTAATTACAGAATTGTCATTGTCAGACATTTTGAGAAAACTTTTCTATAAAATTGTGCAACCAAACACCCCCTAAAGGTAAACATATAGTAACAGATATCAGAAAACAAAACGTTATGAGGATCTAATCCTCAAAGACAATCTGACATAGGGACCAATAAAAAGAATATATGGGCTAATATTGTTATACTCAACTAATTCTCGGTATTTTGCCTTCCTTGTAAACTGCAGATCTTAGGATTGGACATTTGTGCTGATACCATGGTGGGAAATAGCATGCTGAGGGGTATCTCTGGAGGGCAAAAGAAGAGAGTAACAACAGGTAGAATAATCGAAGCAAATAACAATTTCTCAGTATTTCTTTCAAGTATTTGCTCGTCTAAATATAAAAATACCTATTTCATAGGTGAAATGCTTGTTGGCCCATCACGAGCACTCTTCATGGATGAGATATCCACAGGGCTTGACAGCTCCACCACGTACCAAATTGTGAACTCTCTAAGACAATCTGTTCACATCCTCGGAGGCACTGCTCTTATAGCTTTGCTTCAGCCAGCTCCGGAGACCTATGACCTCTTTGACGACATAGTTCTCCTTGCAGAAGGTCATGTTGTGTATCAGGGTCCTCGTGAACATATTGTTGAATTCTTTGAATCGATGGGCTTCAAATGCCCGGAGAGGAAAGGTGTCGCTGACTTCTTGCAGGAAGTAAGTACTGAATTTCCAGTCTGCAAATATCTTTTTTTTTTAAAAAAAACCAGACCAAAAAACTTATAAATACTAACTGAAACGGATAACTGCAGGTGACATCAAGGAAAGATCAACAACAATATTGGGCACGCAGAGACGAGCCATACCATTTTATCCCAGTCAAGGAGTTTGCAGATGCGTTCCTTTCTTTCCACGTTGGCCAAAGATTGGCAGAAGAACTCAACACCCCATTTGACAAGAGCAAGAACCACCCTGCCGCTTTAACAACTTCGAGATATGGTACCAGCAAGAGGGATATTTTCAAAGCATGCTTCTCAAGGGAGTATTTGCTGCTGAGAAGGAACTCATTTGTTTACTTCTTCAAACTGTTCCAGGTAAGTACTTAATCAGGACTTCTTTTTCTTTTCTTTTTTTTACCTTTTTTCTTTTTTCTTTTTTCTTTTCTTTTTCAGTTCTACAACTTACATGCTCTTATCTTGTCTGTGTGCTCAGATTGTAATGATTTCATTTGTTGCGATGACGGTCTTCTTGCGTACAAAGATGCACCATGACGATGTCAATGATGGACTTATCTATCTTGGTGCATTGTTCATTGGTCTTATGACTCATCTTTTCAATGGACTTGCTGAGATAGCAATGAGCATTGCAAAGCTTCCAGTTTTCTACAAGCAGAGAGATCTTCTCTTCTTTCCAGCATGGGCATATGCACTACCTACTTGGCTCCTGAAAATCCCAATATCATTTATTGAATGTGGCGTCTATGCTGCCTTGACTTATTATGTTATCGGCTTTGACCCAAGTGTCAATAGGTGAGGTTGCATCTAAATTAAATCACTTTGAAGCTGGATGAGGCGGTAATGAACAGTGTCTCAAATCTCATCTTTTTTCTTGCTGCAGATTTTTCAGGCAATTCTTCCTGTTTGCATTGATTAGTCAGATGGCTTCTGGACTCTTCAGGGTTGTTGCGTCGGTCGGAAGAACAATGATTGTTGCAAACACATATGGTGCATTTGTTCAGCTGGTCCTTATTGTACTTGGTGGCTTCGTTATATCACGAAGTATGTAGTCACTGACACGGATACTCTTTAGGGACCAAAGTTCTCTATAACTTAAAACTTTATCCTCTTTCTGCAGAGAACATCAAAAAATGGTGGATCTGGGGTTACTGGGCATCACCCTTGATGTATGCACAAAACTCCATAGCAGTGAATGAGTTTCTGGGAAAGAAATGGGATCGTGTAAGCATGGTTACATCTTTAAACACATTGCCAACTGTGAATCATTTCCAAGGTTAATAATATTCCTTGTATGGTGTAGGTGGTCAATACAACGGCAAGTAACCAAACATTGGGAGCCCAAATCATAGAGTCCCGTGGTTTGTTTGCAGAAGCAAATTGGTATTGGATTGGTGCCGGTGCTTTGATTGGATACATTCTGGGCTTTAATGTCCTCTACACAGCTGCTCTTACTTATCTCAACCGTGAGTCCTCATTCTTGAAACAATGGTAAGCGATATTTATTATCGAAAACCTAACTGTTATATGCACTGCTGCAGCCATTGGAGAAAGCCAAGCAGTAATGTCTGAGGAGACTTTGGAGGAGAAAGTCGCTAACAGAACAGGAGAACAGTCATCCCGTGGAAACAACAATAGATCAGAAAGTGAGTAAATCAACTAGTTGATTGTTCAACATATGTGTATTATTGTATGCGTTCCAGCTAAGGTAAGAATTATCATGATTACAGGTACAACTGGTGGAGCAAGGACAGAAATAGAAAGTGATCAAGATCAAAACAAGAAGAAAGGAATGGTTCTCCCATTTGCACCCCTCTCAATAACTTTCGATAACGTCAGATACTCAGTGGACATGCCAGCGGTAAATCCAACTTTCAAATCTTTAACAAATTCATCAATTATTTTTCCATCAATGAGTTGAAGAGTCATAATTGAATTTAAACTCACAGGAAATGAAAACTCAAGGTGTTCCTGAGGACAGATTAATGCTATTGAAGGGCATAAGTGGCGCTTTCAGGCCCGGAGTTCTTACTGCACTGATGGGAGTCAGTGGAGCTGGTAAGACAACACTGATGGATGTCTTGGCTGGAAGGAAGACCGGGGGTTATATAGAGGGGGACATTAGTATATCTGGATACCGAAAGAATCAAGAAACTTTTGCTCGGATATCAGGATACTGTGAACAGAATGACATACACTCACCTCATGTTACAGTCTATGAGTCACTCGTCTACTCTGCATGGCTTCGATTACCTAGTGAAGTCGATTCTAAAACAGGAAAGGTTTGTAATTGTTAACTATTCACGCCCATTTTATGCGTACAGACGGTAATAGAAAATAAGCATATGCACGATATATGACTGTAATGCAATATAAGTTTATATTGACACAATACCCAAATGCCAAGATGTCAATGCTACAACTAGTACAAGCATCAAACATCTTTCTTAAGATTCTGATACTAGGTCATTAACATGCCTTGTTTTTTCTTTCTTTCAATTAATCATGTACTGATGATGGCTCAATATGATGGTTTTAGATGTTCATTGAGGAGGTTATGGAACTGGTTGAATTGACTCCCCTGAAGGATGCATTAGTTGGATTGCCCGGTGTGAGTGGGTTGTCAACTGAACAACGTAAGCGTCTCACAATTGCCGTGGAGCTTGTTGCCAACCCTTCGATAATTTTTATGGACGAGCCGACCTCTGGACTTGATGCCAGGGCAGCAGCCATTGTGATGAGAACAGTGAGGAACACAGTCGATACAGGAAGAACAGTTGTGTGCACGATTCACCAACCTAGCATCGACATTTTTGAAGCATTTGATGAGGTAAAATATAAAATAGAAAGAAGGTTTTTTTTTTTTTTTTGCCTATATGGAATTGATATATGATGTATTACTTTCTGATTATACTGATTTCACTTGCTGATGGGCTTTAACAAATTTGCAGCTCTTCCTCATGAAAAGAGGTGGAGAAGAGATTTATGTAGGACCACTCGGGCACAACTCATGTGATCTAATCAGTTATTTTGAGGTAACGTGTAACAGAATACACTCATTTCTGTCCATTTTCTAGTTACTCTATTTTCAAGTAAGATATGAATGTCAATAAAGTGAACTTTTTCTGTTTTCAGTCCGTCAATGGAGTTAGCAAGATTAAAGACGGATACAATCCTGCAACATGGATGTTGGAGGTCACTACCGCGGCACAAGAAGAAATTTTGGGAGTCAATTTCACTGAAGTGTACAAAAACTCAGATTTATTCAGGTATCTAAATTCAAAATTTATCAGACATTGATTCCCCATATTCATGATTCCATTGACTAACCAATAGAAAAACACTTATGGTGATTTTTGCAGAAGGAACAAGGCTTTGATTAGTGAATTGAGCAATCCTCCACCTGGTTCAAAGGATCTATATTTCCCCACAAAATTTTCACAATCCTTCTTCATGCAATGCATCGCTTGTTTCTGGAAACAGTATAAATCTTATTGGCGCAATCCATCATACACTGCAATCAGGATGTTCTTCACAACAATAATTGCGTTTATATTTGGGACAATCTTCTGGAAACTTGGATCCAAGACGTATGTCGATAATGATATTTTTGTCGAATTTTCATATTATATGTCAACCATCATTTTCATGTCTGCTTTAGAAACTCGATCCCGTGATACTAATGTATATATCCATAATACTTTACAGGAGCAAAAAGCAGGATCTCTTCAATGCCTTGGGTTCAATATATTCTGCGGTTATGTTCATCGGGGTACAGAATTCTCAGACCGTACAGCCGATTGTCGATGTTGAGCGAACGGTGTTCTATCGAGAAAAGGCTGCAGGAATGTACTCACCAATACCATATGCATTTGCACAGGTAAATTACTAATGTCATTCACCAGCCCGAGGAAACTATTGTGCCTCATCACCGCCATTATCAATGTGTCCTTTTTCTTATCAAAATTGTCTCTAAAGAATGAGATCAAATTGAAACTCCCCAGTCCCGCCCAAAATAATAATAACAATAACAATAACAATAACAACAACAAGATCTTTACACCGAGTTTTCAAGGTGATACCAACCTTTACGAGTTACTGTTACTGGTATAGCAAGTCATAACGTGTGCATTTCTTCATGCAATAATTGTTCTGTCCACCACACTAGAACACCTCATGCATGTCTGTATCTGATACTAAAAAACATCTGAAATCTTGAAAATATGTATGTTATGGCCGATCTTTCAAAATCTATTTAACATATTATTTTCCCAAACTTTATATAGATAACAATTTTAATACATATAATTATTCGTGACACATACATATATTCTAAGGATTACATGTTAGTGGTGTCCTCATTTTGAATTTTGTATGCCATCTCTACACCTGGTTCCTTATTGAAAGATGATTCTCTATGCCTGCAACTTATACACAAGAAGTAACCGGAAGATACATCCGGCCACTATAGTCAAGAGAGAAGCCTGGCATAAGACCTAGAACAATAAAATGGACTATTAAGAGAGATCCAACCTATCCTAGCACAGTTAAAAGGTTTATACAAAATGGACCTGTTAAAGTAAGAGAGAGAGAGAGAATCTTGGGTAAATTTCCCTTGAATTGAATATTGAGTGTGCACATATATTTATACAAGTAGAGGAGTGTGAGGTTTGTTCTCCCAAGCAATGTGGGACTAAAACCCACTACAATACACTATTATCAACAGCCCCCTTCAAACTCATGTTGGATCAAACAAAGTGAGTTTGCGTACAAGAAACTGGAACCGATGAACAGGTAAGGCCTTTGTGAAGAAATCTGCAAGCTCGTCAGCGGATGAAACATGAGGAAGTAGAATTGTCTTGTCCTTGATAACTTGGTGACGGACAAAATGAGCGTCGATCTCAATATGTTTGGTCCTTTCATGAAATACTGGATTATTAGCAATCTGGATGGCACTCTTATTATCACAGTAGAGAGGAGTAGGAGTCGTAACAGAAATACCGAAATCACTGAGAAGGCGACGAAGATGAATAATCTCTTTAGCTGTTGTGGACATTGCACGATACTCTGCCTCAGTACTGGAAAGAGCAATAACATCTTGTTTCTTACTTCGCCAGGAAATAAGGGAATCACCAAGAAATATACAATAACCTGTGGTAGACTTTCTGGTAGTTGGATCACCAGCCCAATCAGCATCAGAATATGCACAAAGCTCTAACTTAGATGTAGCAGGAAACAAAAGTGAGCGAGTGCTAGTACCCCGGAGGTACCGAAGAATCCGTAATAAGACAGCATAGTGTACAGAACGTGGGGCACTAACAAATTGACTGACAATACCAACAGCATGAGAGATATCTGGTCGAGAGATGCACAAATAGACCAACTGACCAACAAGATGTCGATATCGGGTAGGATCAGATAGAGGCTCACCGTCAGTAGAGCAAAGTTTGACATTCTGCTGGAGTGGAGTATCGACAGTTGTATTATCAGTTAACTCAGCTTGATTTAGAATATCTGAGAGATACTTCTGTTGAGACAGTAATACACCCCGCGGGCCTTGAGAAATTTCTAGACCAAGGAAATACCGAAGAGATCCAAGATCCTTCATGTGGAACTGTTGTTGCAACTGAGATTTTGCGTATTGTATACCTGTCATATCATCACCTGTAATGATCATATCATCTACATAGATGAGTAATAAAACCCTGCCACGCGATGTAGTGCGAACAAACAGAGAAGCATCTTGATGACTTTCTATAAAGCCCGCTTTGAGCACAACATCGCGAAAACACTCAAACCAAGCGCGGGGTGCCTGTTTGAGACCATAAACAGCACGACGAAGGAGACATACATGTCCCGGAGGAATATTTGACCCTGGAGGCGGTTGCATATATACGGTCTCTGATAAAGAGCCATGAAGAAAAGCATTTTTGACATCCATCTGGTATAAGGGCCAACGATGAGCAGCAGCGACCGCAAGGAGAGTACGCACAGTGGGCATCTGAGCAACAGGAGCAAAGGTCTCCTCATAATCAATACCTTGTTGCTGAGTAAAACCTCTAGCCACTAAACGAGCTTTTCGACGTTCAATGGTGCCATCAGGACGAAACTTGACCTTATAAACCCATTTACTGCCAACAAGAGAGATCCCAGGAGGACAGGGAACAATATCCCAGGTATGAGTTTGCTGAAATGCTTGAAATTCCTCAGCCATAGCTTGTCGCCACTCTGGAATTTGAACTGCCTCTTGGAAGGACTTTGGCTCAACAATAGTATGAATGGCAGCAAGAAAGTTATGAAAGATAGGTGAATAAGAAGTAACAGAAGCATACCGGGCAGGCATGACATGTGGGCGTTTGCCTCGACGAAGAGCAAGAGGAACCTCAGGCGGGGGAGATGCTGGCGCAGGTGCATGAAGATCAACAGTATTTTCTGGAGTGAGAGTTGTGTCCACAGGATATGGATTAGATGGTGTAAGAGAAGACTCAGGTGAGGAAGAGTCAACAGAAGGAGAGGGAGAGATGTCAGGGAGATCTCGAAAGGAAAATTGAGGTGAAGAAGTGGGTGATGCAGTGGACGGGGAAGCATGATCGGTAGAGTGGAGGAAATTAAAGTCATCAGAAGTAGAATAATATGGAGAATCCTCTTCGAACTGAACATGACGAGATATATGAACTCGACGAGTTGCGGGATCATAACAACGATAACCTCGATGTTCTGAACTAATTCCTAAATAAACACAAGAAACTGCTCTGGGAGACAATTTATCACGTTCGTGAGATGGCAGAAAAACAAAACATCGACAACCAAAAACGCGAACTAGATCATAACGGGGAGGATGAGTATAAACACGACTATAAGGAGTAGCACCGGAAAGAGAGCTAGATGGAGTGATATTAATGGCATGAGTCGCGGTGAGAATAGCCTCAGCCCAGAAACGACGAGGAACAGAGTAAGAAATGAGCATTGATCGGGCAGTATCGAGGATATGACGATGTTTGCGTTCAGCAACACCATTTTGCTCATGAGTGTAGGGACATGACTGTTGAAAGATAGTCCCATGAGAGGACATGATAGAGCGCATGGCAGAGGATAGGTACTCTTTGGCACAATCAGAACGAAAAACTTTAATACGAGATTGCCATTGAGTGAAAATCATAGCAGTGAAGGCTTGATAAGCAGTAAGTACGTCAGAGCGATTCTTAAGTAGGTAAACCCATGTAAAACGAGAGAAATCGTCGATAAAACTAACATAATATAAGTAGCCAGATGAAGAAGGCAAAGGAGCTGGCCCCCAAATATCAGAATGTACTAAATCAAATAAGGAAGTGGATACAGATGTACTCATTTTAAATGGTAAAGCAGTGAATTTAGCCAATTTGCAACCAGCACATGACTCAATACTAGAACTAGATGATACAGGACCAAGTACTCCAGACTGAATAAGACTCTCCAGCCTTTTATTACACACATGACCAAGTCGTCTATGCCATAAATTGGCAGGAAGCGAGGTAGAGGGTTTTGACGAACAAAGAGAAGCAACAAGAGAACGTGGACGTATGGACTCTGGAAGGTGAAGATATTCCAGAAAATACAGTTTGTGCCTCCTACGACCCGCCCCAACCGTCTTGCCCGTCTGTGGATCCTGCACAATACAAGTATCAGAAGAAAATGAGACAAACAGGCCCGCCATGCATAAAGAGCTAATAGAAATTAAATTCAAGCACAATTGTGGAGCCACATAGACGGGACCAAGTGTTAGACGACCAGATGGATCATTTTGTGGGGTAATAGAGCCATACTGAGTAATGGACAATGGTTGTCCAGCAGCTGTGTAGATAGGAGGAAGAGAGGATGAAGTAAAGACAGAGGATAAAAGTGAGGCATTACAAGTCATATGAAAGGAACAACCAGAGTCAAAAATCCAGAGATCATTCATACCAGAGACTGAAGGATTAGCTGAAGAACCAGCAAAATGCATACCAGAGAGTTGTGCGGCGGATGTAGAGGTGATATGTTGAAAAGCATCAAGTTGACGGCGAAGACTTTCAATAGCTTGAATAGTAGAGTCTGAAGTAGTAGAAGGTATAGCATTGGCCAACAATCCTGGTGTACGAGAGGGTTGAGACTGAGGGGGTCGCCGACCACGTCCAGTACCTGAGGAACGTAACTCAGGATGAAGCTTGAAGCATGTCTCAATGCGGTGTCCTTCCTTCTTACAATATTTGCAAGAGAGCTTAGATCGAGCCTGTGGAGAGGGAGCCTGTGGAGAAGTATAATTCATAACAGGAGCAGTGACAGGTACAGACAAAACAGTCTCGAGTGAAGAGGTAGGAGTGTCTGTTGACAAATTGAGTCGTGCTGTCTGCTGCCGGGTCTCATAAGCAGTGAGAGCTCCCATAACTGAGGCCAAAGTCGGAAATTGAGGCTGGTGAAGTAGTTGATCAGCCATAGTTGAATATTCAGGAAGGGACTGAAACAATTGATGCACCTCATGCCGTTCGTACCAGGCTAGCCAGTCTTCATATGTGGAATTACGTCCAGGAAGCATGGAGCGTAACTCTGTCCAAAAAGCTTGCATTTGTCCAAAATGGGACTGCAGAGATGAACTACCTTTGCGTTGTAGAGAAATGCGTTGCAGAAGATATGCCTCCCGTGCACCCGAGCACTCAGTGAAACGCTCAGTGAGACGAGTCCACATGGCCTGAGCAGAGGGAAGCGAGCCAATCTCGACAGTGAGACCAGAGCCAACACAGCGAGTGAGATAATCCATAACACGAAATTCCTGCAATTGCCACTCTGAACTCTCCTTGACATAGAGAGCACGAGCAGTCTGAAGATCGACATCACCACTGCCAGAGGCAATAGTACTGGATGAAGCAACAGTGCTGATGGACGGTGGAACTGGTCCCGTACTGGTGAGATGATCAAGCAAACCAGCGCCACGCAAGGCATTGGTGACAATGGTGGACCACCCTGCCCAGTCACTTTGATCATTGAGGGGCAAAGGTGGTTTGGGAATCTTCTCTGAAGGAGCCATAACAGCAATCTTGAGACGTTAAGATGTCGAGATGCTGTTACTAATGTCGTTCGTTTGAGGCCGAGAGACGGCTTGAAACGACGATGCCGTTAATTTGAGACCGAGAGACGGTCTTGAAACGACAATGCCGTTAAAATAGAACCCGAAGGTTAGAATGAAACCCGAAAGTTTAAAATAGAACCCGAAGGTTAGAATGAAACCCGAAGGTTTAAAATAGAACCCGAAGGTTAGAATGAAACCCGAAGGTTTAAAATAGAACCCGAAGGTTAGACGAGAACGCGAAACGCGTTAAGAGGCCGCAAAACGACAAGGCCAAAATATCTGGCAGATGAACGCCAAATAATTAAAAATAAAAATAAAAAAAAATAAAACATTAAACGGCTGCAAAGCAATAAGGCCAAGATTTGGCAAAAGAACGCAAAAGCGTTAAAAATTTTATTGAAAGGGAAATAGCCCTAGCTCTGATACCATGTTAAAGTAAGAGAGAGAGAGAGAATCTTGGGTAAATTTCCCTTGAATTGAATATTGAGTGTGCACATATATTTATACAAGTAGAGGAGTGTTAGGTTTGTTCTCCCAAGCAATGTGGGACTAAAACCCACTACAATACACTATTATCAACAGGACCACTGGTACAAATCACACTAGAATCCACCAATCATATCCTGCTTTTTAGTTATTAACCAAATCTCTTTGCTTTCAGGTCGCCGTTGAGATTCCATATGCTCTCTTCCAGGCTGTACTCTATTGTGTCCTAGTCTATGCAATGATAGACTTTGACTGGACTGCGACCAAATTCTTGTGGTATACATTCTTCACATTCTGGACTTTCCTATACTTCACCTACTATGGGATGATGGCGGTTGCTCTTACCCCTAACTCGGACATCGCTGCAATTGTCGCCGCTGCATTCTATTCTATATGGAATCTCTTTGCAGGCTTCATTGTTCCTCGACCTGTAAGTTTCCAAAACTCAATCCTCCTAAAAAAAACCTTCCTTCTTTTGTACACTTTCTAAGTTTAATTAACGATATCATATGACGGAATGCAGAGGATACCAGTATGGTGGAGATGGTACTTCTGGGCATGCCCAGTTTCCTGGACTTTATATGGCCTGTGTGCTTCACAATATGGAGACGTTACCACCAAACTAGATAACGGACAAACAGTGAAGGAATTTCTTGAGAGTTATTTCGGATACAAGCACGACTTCTTGGGTGAGGTTAGCGCTGCAGTCATCGCATTTCCAGTGCTCTTTGCCCTTGTGTTTGCATTGGGTATCAAATTTTTGAACTTCCAAAGGAGATGAGATTGCCAATTTTTGTTTGTTTTTTCTTTGGCCCTTTTCCAGAATTTATGTGGAGACCACGGTTATTATTATAGGTGTTTTACGTCTGTAAGGTATTGTAATTTTTGTAGCTTGACTTGAACGGAGAATTATTCCACATGTATAAATTGATATACATCCTTCTTCTTCTTCTTCTCATTGTAATCATTCCAAACATAAATAAATAAATGCTTTCAATGGAAAGTTTCAGACTATTTTTCCTTCTGTTGCTGCATAATCTATTGGAAAGAGGAACTGAACAGACTGAATATTCATGAAACTGACACGAGAAGAAAGCTCTTACCCGCTGAATCCTCGACCATTGAGCATACAACTTCCAGCAGAATCCTCGACCGATAATCTCCTTCAAAAGCACGCCAACTTTGCAGGACTTCTCCCCTTCTTCTGGAATGTCTTTAAGACTTTTGGAAATTTGAAGAGCATGTGAACATGATGGACGATGCCCAGACAACGAAGGATCGCATGGGGTTTTGTGGTATAATGGACTGTAGATGTTTTCACGTGTACCAGGTTGAGATGCGTTCATGATTTGGTTGCTGTAATTAGATCGTGCAGGAAAAGTAAAAGGTATTCGGTTTCAATGAAACTTTACCGGCGAACGCGCTCATGAGCGAGGAAGGAACAGAACCAATTTTGAGGGGAAATATAAAAAAATAAATAAAAACTCCTCTTTTTTTTACGAAAGAGGGCAAAAGCTACCTGCTTTTAACGGGTCGGGTTCCAAAAAAAATGACGGGTCGTTTAGAAACAAACAAACCCAGAACCCGGTTAATAAGTACGCGCGGCCCCTGCCCTGCTTCTGGGAATTGCGGCGTCTCGCTCCCTGCAGGTAACCAATTTTAGGGCTTTTTTTTTTTTTGTCACCAAGGAAGTCTTAGATTTTTAAGAAAACCCCGTAGTTATTCCTTCACTGGGCTGTTTTAGATTGATTTTAATTATATTTTGATTGCAAACAGTGGCTCAGGTTCGTCCATTGTAAAGTTTAAAGGGCGTTGAGAGTATCCTAAGATTTTCTGGATTCCTTGAAAAGATAACTGCAAAAAGAAGATCCATGAAATTGGGTTCATAATCTATTTTGGGAATCCTCAATCTTTCTAAATCATACCCTTTTGTGTATGCTTTTTTTTCTTTTTCTTTTCATAGATTTCGGGCTGGGATTTTTAAGGTTTAGGGTTTTAGGTGTTTTGTGTTCTAATCGTAACGATATTACGATGAGGGGGAGATTGGCTAATTGATGGCGCATTTTGAGTCTATCCTGAGTGCCTCTCAATTACTTCAAAAACAATAATGTAAATGCAAAATCCTTTGAATTGGAGATACATAATTTCATTGAGAATTTATAACAATTTTATGGGGGGTTATGTTTACAATGATACATGCTAGAGTATTTTGATTCCTTCATAATGCCTTTTTGTTGATATGTTTTGGATTATACAAGAGCTTCGCTTCTTTTATCTGCTCTTGAGTAATCATGGTTCTCATTGTGTTAGATTTGAAGGAAAAAAAAATCTATTTTGTTTGATTAGAATTAAGATCAAAGCATGTTTAAGTTTTCTTTATAATCACTAAACGACCAACGATCCGCTCGGTATTAGTTTTTTTCCTCTTGTACTTGTGATCCTTCTTATACCCGATTCTTGTGAACAGTTGAATTTGACATGCAACAACTTTTATTTAAGCTTAATGACATTCATTTTCTAGTCATTTTATATCTTCTTCAGTGTTGACATGAATTGTCGTCATTAAGATGTTGACGGGTTCATGAGAATCTCTGGCATCACATATTTGTCTTTCCATTGCGTCTGTTAGCCATATCTTTTTGTGCTTTTGCAGCTTGTGACCTTATTTAAATTGTTGGCATTTATCTGCACCCTTCGTCTTTCTATTACATGAACTGGGAATGGAGGTTTAAGAGCTTGTTTCCATTCTGTCTGTGAACGCTCCATCTCGTATCCCTTTGCTCGGCCCTTATATTCTTTTAGTCATTCTATTATACTTGTACTCTTGAAATAATATGCTGATCTCTTGTTATTTCTGTATGCCTTCTTCACTTTCAAGATGGGCATGCTTAAAAAACCACAGCTTTCATTCCTTGAGGCGGCAACAATGGAAGATACCATTGCTGATGTTGATGAAGAGATGATGGATTCTGGGTCCGAAAGTGAGGATGAAGAGGTAGCTCTTACGGAGCCTTCAAAAACTGCCATCCACAACAAAGAAGGCCTTCTCGAGAAACTAGAAGATATAGCCTGGCCAGAGAATGCTGATTGGATCCATAAACTTAGCATCAACTATGATTTGCCTGCAGAGATTGACGTGAACGATGACTTGGCACGTGAGATGGCCTTTTACACCCAAGCTTTAGATGCCACTCGACAAGCGTTTGAGAAGTTGCAAGCAATGGGACTGCCATTTCTTAGGCCACCAGATTACTATGCTGAGATGGTCAAGTCAGATTCTCACATGTTAAAGATCAAAGGAAAACTTTTAGTGGAGAAGAAGAAGATTGAGGAGGCGGAAGAGAGGAAGAAGGCAAGAGAGTCCAAAAAGATTGCTAAGGAGGTCCAAGCTCAGAAGAACAAAGAGAGGGTGAAGCGGAAGAAAGAGGACATTGAGTCTGTTAAGAAGTGGAGGAAGCAGAGACAACAGAGTGGGTTTGCTAAAGGAAAAGGCGAGGAAATGGATTTTGATTTGGATGGTGAGAATAAGTTTGGATCGAAGAAGAGGAGGCCAGGAGCTGCTCCTGGAGATAGGTCTGGCGGAGTTCGTAGACATGGGAATAACAAGAAGAGGGAGAAGAGGGAGTCTAAGTTTGGTCATGGCGGTCGAAAGGGGATGAAGAAGCAAAATACTGCTGATACTACTAATGATTTGAGGGGTTTTAACAAAGGTGAGTTCCCAGGGAATAATAAGAGAAGAAAGGGGTGACTTTTGTTTCGGTAAATGAAGTTTTGGCTGTGGTCTTGCTTTCAATCTTGTTATTGCACCTTGTTGTTTTTTGCTTATGGGAATTTCATTTGAAGCTCTTGCTGTTGTACGTTTTGTTTCGGTAATGAAGTTTATCTGCTCAATCCTTTGTATTTACTGTGCTCTGAGCAAAGTTGAGTAACCTGAAGTTTTTGCTTATTGAGTTTGTTATGTAGCGTGTATGTTTATTGCCATGTAGGCGCTCTTGCTGTTGAAGTGTCTGCAGCATCTCAAATTGCAAGTCTTTGAAACTATATTACTGATGCATTGAGGGACCAATCTTCCAGCTTTATGGTTTGCTTGCGCCCATTTAACATGGAGATTACCCTCGTTATCGTAATCTCGGGTGTCATTCATTATTTTAATTAGCCTTTAGCAGTAAAGGTATCAGCAGTATCAGCGGTTTTGACAATTTCAAGTTGCAAGTTTAATCATGAAATTTTCATTTATCATTTTTTTTCCTTTTATTTTTCTTTAACTAAACTAACTATGAAATTTTTTTTTTTTGGTTTTTGTTTTTGTTTTTGTTTTCAAAACCTTAGGTCATTGATACTTGGTTTTGATTGAACCAGATCAGCATTTCTTCAATACATGACTTTGAACCTGGAAATTTATTATCTCTATGCTTGTTGAGCGACTACAGGTTTGAGCTTGTTTGAACTTTGTACTGTCTTCTACTGGTTGCTTCATTTATCGTTTCGATTTTCATTAGAAATATGCTAACTCTATTTTAAAGTTAAATTAAGATAAGTTTGAAAAAAAAAATTTGGTTGCCTTAATAGTAAGGGGCTGTTTGGTTCGTTTCCTTGATATAGGGAAATGCAATTCCATGTAAAGAAACATAAGTTTTGAGTTTTTCAAATTTTTTCAAGAAATAGATTGTTTTGCTTTGGTTCGCATATAAAAAATGGTGGGAAACTAATGTATTTATTTTTCTTGTGTTTGGTTCGCATAGAAAAAAAAAGAAAAACTTTTGTAAACAAAGCAGAGTTTTCATCAATTTCACTTGGTTGGGGAAGGAAATCGGAGAGGGAAAAAAATCTTAGTTGGTGGTGATTTTAGCAGAGTTTTCCCTCTTCCATCCGAGCGAACCAAAGCGGCACAAAGAAATGGACGGAAACAAAAAAACTGACGTGGAGGGCTAAAAATCTGACGTGGAGGGGTTTTCTGAGTTTTCCACCCCTTATAATAGCGAAAATCTGACGTGGAGGGGTTTTCTGAGTTTTCCACCCCTTATAATAGCGAACCAAACAGCCCCTAAATGTATAACCGAGAATTTTTAGCATTCAAAATATGTTAGAAATTATTATTTTCATTTTTTTTTTTTTGGCAAAGGTCCAAAGTCAAAAAAAAATTCTTTGGTTTTGTTAAGGCTCGTGTGATTCTAGTTTTCCCTTTTCTTTGAAGGCCAAAATCCCCATAGCACAATCAGGTGAAGTTTTGAAGTAAGCCCAAAAAAATTCCTAACATAATTATTTTAGAATCAAATCCCTTTTTTCACGGAAGAAAAAAATGTACAGGAAGTTTTTGCAATTTTCCCGTAACCACCACATCACGGGTGGAGCAGAAAAAGAAAAAAATCCTAAACGTAAGGAAGTTCTAACTAACCCTATCTTTTTATAACAAATCCTTTTTTTACCTCTAGGTTATCATCACATCCCTTCCTAATCACTTGGATTTTCATTTAACGTTTAATCCACAAGCATACTTTCTTATCAAGTTTTCTTTTTATATATATTATAAATTTTTCTCATTCCTGAAATTTTGCCCTCAATTGCTTGAGTAAAACCTTGGTCAAACTCAAGTGGCTGCAGTGTAGGGGACTGCTAGAAGTACCATCATGAAAGAAAGAAACCTTGGTTATTCATTAGTTTATGTGATCTTGGAGTTCTTTTTCGTAATTGTGTTCACTAACTACTTAATGCTCTGTAGGAAATTCATCCACCTAGATAAACGTAGAGTGTATGCGCCTATTTATTTTTTTTTCCTGTAGCTTCATGCTAAACTAATGTTTTAATTGTAGTTATGTTTTGGTAAAATCCTTTGTAATGATTTATTCTTAAGATAGATATTCTAGTTAAATAATAACTTTCTTTAATAAGAAAGAACTTCTTTTCTCAATGCTTCGTTTTCCTTTTCCTTTAGATAGTGAAAGAAAAAAAATATGACCCTCTTTTACTAATTATTTAAAAAAAAGGGGGTTTTATAATCATACGATCTATTTTTATCTATCTTAAATCTTTCCCTCCCTGACCTTAACCTTATTATTGCTATTAGTAGTGTTACATTCACATAAATTTTTGTACAAATCAGAAGGATTATTTTTCGTAAGCTTTTATAAAGATATATATATAAATATCATTTACTTGTCAAAATACATTTTTGGGGACTTATTAATTGAAACAAACATGTAGTAATTTCATGCATCACCTATGGCATAAAAACATGATGCTTGGAGTTGTTAGATGCCTTTGACTATGACATAGAGGTTTGGAGTTAAATCCTAAACCCTTCATTTTATTAAAAAAATTTAGTTAGCTTGGTTTTTGTACTCAACCCGATCTGGTTGGGGTCTGATATCAAATATCAAACCCGCTTGGGTTTTTGAACACAAAGAATCAAATTTAGGGATTTTTAGGTACAAACCAACCTGTTGACCCATTATTGACGCTAAACAAAATATGTTGCTTAGTTATTTTTCTTTTTGGCTAGGATAAATGAGTATATTGGTTGATCACTTGAGGCTTGTTGGATTACCTGAAAATATGTTCGATCACCTAGACATTTATTAGGACCGACTGTGCATGAAGACGACTTCCATAAAAAATATGATTCATAAGTGTGCTATCATAGGATGGTTATACTCTCGATGTCGTTATCCCAGTGTGAGGTTCCTTGACTGCTATTATTATTATAATGTTTATTAGACGACGCATCCCTCTTGACTGTGCATGTTTTGGATCACAGCTATTTTTCATAGTTTTACGAAAGTCGTTCCATGATAATATTGTGGTTAGTGAAAAACATTTCATGCACAGTCACTAAAAAATAAACAAAAATGTGGGGTTTAATAAAGGGGAATTGGTCGAAGAATATAAAGTATATATAAGCGGGCTCATGCGCATCCCTGATATTTTGAGTTATATATACAATGGCCAATACTTGATTTGAAGTCGTGTTCCCGGGACGGTTTACGGGAACTTGATTTATATACATGAAAATATTTCTCCTCTAATTTAAATAACACATAAAATAATAATAATGTACTTGTCTGTCTTGTGATAGACTTTATCTTGATCTCTATAATTAGCATTTTTAATCACATTTAATTTAGATTTCATTTTTTTTCTTTCTATTTGTCACGTATACTTACATACGCACAATTTCTTCACATATAGTAGTTTCCTGCATCACCTATGACATAAAAACATGATGCTTGGAGTGGTTAGTTGCCTTTGACTATGATATAGAGGTCCGGAGTACAAATCCTAGACCCTCCATTTTATAACATAAAAATTTCAGTTGGCTTGGTTTTTGAACTCAACCTGATCTGGTTGGGGTCCGATATCAAATATAGAGCCGTTTGGGTGTATAACTTAAATTTCAGACTCATTTGGGGCCTTTTGCACACAAAGAATCAGATTTTAGGATTTATAAGTAGCAAACCAACCCGTTGACCCATTATTGACACTAAACAAATTATGTCGCTTATTTATTTTCCTTTTTGGCTATGATAAATGAGTACATTGGTTGATCACTTGAGGCTTGTTGGATTAACTGAAGATATGTTCGATCACCTAGTGACATTTATTAGGACCGACTATGCATGAAGACGACTTCCGTCAAAAATATGATTCATAAGCATGTCATTATAGAATGGTTATACCCTTAATGTCATTATCTCGGTATGAGGTTCCTTGACTACTATTATTATTATAACGTTGATTAGATGATGTATCCCTCTTGACTGGTCATGTTTTGGATCACAGTTATTTTTCATATACGGAAGCCGTTCCACAATAATATTGTGGTTAGTGCACAAAATTTGATGCATAGTCACTAAAAATAAACAAAAATATGGGGTTTAATAAAGGAGAATTGGACGGAGAATATAAAGTGTATATAAGTGAGCTCATGCGCATCCCTGGTATTCTGAGTTATATATACAAGGGCTAATACTTGACTTGAAGCCGTGTTCCCGGGACGATTTACGGGAACTTGATTTATATACATGAAAATATTTCTCCTCTAATTCAAATAGTACCTAAAATAATAATAACATACTTGTATGCCTTGTGATAGACTTTATCTTGATCTCTATAATTAGCATTTGTTTAATCACATTTAATTTAGATTTCATTTTTTTCTTTCTATCTGCCACGTATACTTACATGCGCACAATTTATTTATTTTACATGCTTGTTGGAAATTTTCTGACTCCTCCGGGGTTTGCGCACCCCAGACTCAGCGATTGTTCTTTCTTCACAGGACTGAGAGTATTTTGAGAAGCAGGATCAGGGATAGTGATCACCGTTTATCCTAATAGTTTTCCAGTTTCATTTGGGTTAGGTAGTTATTTGATTTAGATTTTTTTCCCTTGAGCCACATGTGGCCTTCTGGACTATGATGTTATTTTTCTTACTCTTTTCTATTGTGGGTAGTTGTGGATTTGTACTTGAACTCTGTTTTTCCGAAGATTTATTTATCTGTATATTTTCTTTTGTTACTTAGTTACATGCTTTGTAGTATGGTTTTGGTAGTGTATTTGTATACAGGATGATCTAGAGGCATGAATGTGTTGACCCTATAGTTTTGATGATGATTTAACAAACAATTTATTACCAATAAGTTTTCTAGTGTTTTGTGTTTTTGTTCTCTTTTCAGGTATTTCAACACGCGTCATTAAAGCGTTAAAGATTCAAGTTCATCTGCGTGTATTTACCTGGGTATTCGTTTAGTTCTCTTATATATATTGTATGATGATATCTAAGCTCAATATATATACACTTAACACGATTTTTTGACGTTTTCTATCATATAGATGATTTTTCATTAAACGTTGTTAAAATATCTTTATCTCTTGTTTACAGCTCTCTCATACTTTATTATATACATATAATATATGCACAATATATATATGAATATTTACAAGTCTTATA